AGAATCAAAAAACGTGAGGTCCCGGGTTCGGTCTCAGGTTAGGTCACGCGCTTCTTCCTTCCACGGTTGATAAATTAATGCCACTCCATGCGAAATAAAGAGAACACACAGCTATGCATGCCATATAGCTGCTGCCAAAACCACTTAAAAACGAGGCATTAAAGCAGCTGGATCTGAAATGGAAATCAGAGGCTTACCATTAAATTCAACTACTTTTATGCTTGTAACTAGTCTTAAGGGGCTGATTGAAGTTACCTTTACATATGTCTCTACTCAAAGCTTAAAGTATGCTCATACGCCGGAATGTCAGGTAAGGCATAACTAATGCACGAGAAGATTTCACAAAGTTCTGCACCGATTCCTTGCTTCTAATTGGCTGGAGGCATTTAGGCAGGTTACGGTTTCACAGTATTTGAACAGCTGCAGCATCAAATGAATCTCCAATCATATCGTTAGCTACAACCACCTGGTGCTCATTACGAACGATATTTTCTACAGCTCATTAGGACTTGGCAATCTATATATAATACCGCATAAACATACTCTGGGTAGTCGAGTGATTGATGCACATCTGCGATCTTGTCCGTGTCAGGTGATGCCGTTTCTCTTTTGAAAACGTGAACTGTTTGACTAGATCTACTCTTCTTGGGGTAGAGTGCAGGCATCTGCTTCAGCAACACCAATTTTCTGATTTTTTTTTACTTTTTTAAATGATAATGTTAAAGAAATACACCGGAGCCATTTAAAAAATTAATAGCATTGAGACACTATGTTTAATATACTAAGGATTTCAACTAGTCAATGTCAAACACTGACAATCCGCAAATGTGCAATTTGTTGCCATGTTCCTTTAGCAAAAGACAACCAGCCATTTAGTACAAAAAATTTTTCAGTAACGTACTTTCCTCGCACGTTTTTTCTTGTGCTCCTTTTCATATTTCGATGACCGTCGCATTTCTGGTGACACCTCTTTATTTCTAAATAGTGGTTTCAAAATTTGACCGAAAATCAGTGTAGAGCTAATTACTCATCAGAAGACTGATGTTTGGAAGTGGTCGTCGAGGTGCGATGATGAGAACGCCGAGATCTAACGACTCGGCGTACGGACTGATCAACCTTTAGATGGCCACTATTACGTTCATCGGTTGAATTTGCCACTGCTCGGGAGGACCTACAGCGCAAACTGTCATGAACACGTCATTTGAACATGTAAATATTCACTCTCACCTTGTTCTCGATGTTCGATGTCGCTTAGAACGGCTATCGCAGCTGATGCTACAAAAAAAGTGTCCCATAAAATACCTTTTTCGTACACATGATATAACCATAATGAACTGTCTAATCGTCAATATACAATTTATTTATTACAACGGTGTATAACTAGCCTAAATATAGTACGACAGCATTTATTATGATCTATAAAAAAAATTGCTTGCTCACTTCAGTTCTTTCGCAGATGCATACGAACTTAATAGATTGAGACCACAAAGTAGATTTTAGCACACTTGAAGTAAGGAATAGAAAGAATCACAAAAGTTTCCCAGACTTACAACAAATGTTACAGTCGGATCTGCCACTATATTTATATAACACGGTTGACTTGTTCTGGCGACAATATTCAGAATCAATCGAAGGAGGAGGCCCATTACTCGCAGCGAGAAGGTATATATCGATGTAGCATAAGTATTCAAAGGTGGGAATTCAGGCTCTTAGAAAAAGAATATTCATTATTTTTGGAACTTGTAAAGAAATTATTTCAATTCCTGCACAGTCGTACCTTGTCCATGTGTGGACTTAAACGCAGACAACGTAGACTTTTCTAGTAGCCTTGATTTGTTGATCTCTGGAACCAAGATCTCTTGATCTTTCAGCGAAATTGAGAGGGTGAGGTAGCTTGCCAATTTACTGTAAAATGCTTGTTAAGAAGGAACAACATTCTTCAGGTTCATTGTGGTTTACGAATAAACAGTTTCTCTTTGACCAGTTCTGAAAATAAGTGACTGCGCCATTACAGATTGCAAAATCACTGACATGACGGCACTATATATCAGGGAGTCATCGGTATATTTTATGCCTGTACTTCAATGGCTGTCCCCGCATGCATTGGTATATTATGATAGTGAAAACAAAAGCGAGCCACATAAAATTTCTAGGTTGTTTCGTACAGTGCAAGATTTGCGCCAGCAGACCTACATGAACAGTATTCGGTCAAAAAAAACTAATTAACCAGCGTTTGAAGTTAGGTCTGGTCAATTCTGTATAGTATAAACAGCGGTAT